CGAGTTGACGGCGTAGATGAGGGGGTTGACCAAGCTACACAGGGAGGTCAGGGCGGGGAAGATGACCATGAGGCGGGGCTCGTCTTTGACAACGCCTGCCGCCCATAGGGAGATGAACACGACGTAAGGCAGGTAGCTGATGGCGTACGTCCCGACCACCAGGAGCAGCGACTTAGCCGTGGCGATGTCGAAGCGGTTCACCGGGCGCGCCGTCGCAACTGCGCCGGCTGGCCCTATCTCTCGCCTCTTAGTCATGGCGGTCCCCTGTCGCTTGGTGCCGACAAAAATTCCGATGTATGTCACTGTGACGATGGCGAGATTACCCACAAGTATACCCAAGCTGCTGAGACGGACGCCTAGGCTGGCCCGCATGCGCTGGTCTAAGCAGAACGTAAAGGTCCCCTTGCGGTAATTCAAGGCGGCATAGGTGAGCGAAATGATGTAGTTGACCACGATGAGAGCACAGGGCACGAGTTTACTGATGCGGAAAACGGCTCTCTTGGAGGACTTGAAAATAGCAATGGCTCGGATGATGCCCATCTGTATCATGGTCAGGAGCGACTGCGAGGTGCAGACGTAATGCGTGAACGCCGAGATGTGGCAAACAACCAGGATTCCTTCGTCCGGGTTGCTTTCTGGCCAGCCTGAGCCTACCGTCCAGAACTCGTACACCAGACGGGCCATATAGGTCGGCGCTGCCAGGGCTCCGAGGAGCAGATCGGTTACCGCCAAGTTGAAGACGAGAACATTGAAGACGGTGCGCATCTGGCTGTACACGGCGATGACCAGACACACCAGGATGTTCTCCACGGTGCCCAAGACGAAGATCACGGCAAGCGTGGCCACGGTGAACGTCATCACAGCGGCCTCTGTTTGGGTGAGCGGTTGCAACTCGCTATCAACACCTGCCTCGGTGGTGTTAACATCGGGATGCCACGGGGCATTCATTTGTAGTTGTCGTTCCTGCAAATGCTGGGAATATTTTTAACTCAGTCTTCAGGGCACCGGTAAGTTGAAAGCCAGTCTTCTTCTCTGGACGAAGTTCGTGTCCATGTCATTCCGAGTATTCGCATCAACAACTCACAAGCTACAGCAACAAATGACAAGTCTTGAATGCTCTGGAATCCCCTCGCCCACAATCCTGCAGACCGTGTCGAAGCCGAGCTGCTGTGAATGCTGCCTTGCCCGGCGAGCTTAATCTTCTTCAGACTCACAGTGAATGTCCTCATTTCTCCAGTAACTTAATGACCGGAGCCTCACTGTATTCCCTTAATTAGTCGGACAGGAGCACTATTGACGTATGACGCGCATGCGAGTTGGTTGCCCCGTTCGGAGAGTCTGTCGGCCTGTTCTTTTGTAATACGGACCATTGTGTTACAGTGGTGTACGCAGGCGCGACGAGAAACAGACACTCAAAGGGAAAGGACGGACGTAAGCGAAGGTGGCCGTCAGTGGTAGGAGGAGGTGGCGTCTAACACGAGACTCGAATTTTAATTCAAGGTAATCTTCACAGGTGCATCTTCCCCCGAAGGAACAACTGCAGAAAAAAAGAGCTAAAATGACGGTTCGGTGTACGCGTATATATGGGTGCGTTCGAGCGAGCTACTCGCGTTAACACGAGTATACTCCTGAGCGCTCGAACGGCTGGAGTACGACCCACGGGTCAGCGAGAGTATACTCTCGCTAGAGGGGGAGTAGGGCCTATACTCCTATCCTGTACCCGAGTGTGATGCGCACGCATTCTTCTGTGTTAACAGGAGCTACCGCGCGAACGCACCCTACACGTACACTATATACAACACTTTTAAAAAACCCTCATGGCCTGAAACCTGAAACCTTGTCAATTCTTGTCCCGTTTTTGCTCCATTTTGAAGAAAAATGACGACCCGTGGTCATGAAATTGACAGAAATGATGTAAACGTAGGCTGGAATAATGACGTTAATGTAACTCACGAAACTCCCATTAAATTCCACAAGGAGATTTATCACCTCTAACCACAGAAGCACAAAGGTACTTATCGTTTGATTTCAGTACAGAACGATACCCCGGAGCAGCCTGACCGACCTTTGAAGGTGTGATTTTCTGTTTCTTTCTTTTTTGTCTTTTGGGTTTTTTTGTGGGGGGGGAGTCAAAAGTCTTCACCTTTTTATGACCTTGCTTTCTTTCAGCGTTCATCCAAATTAATCATGAATATATATTTTTTGTCCAGCAAAAACTTTGATAAGGTATGGCTGGATTACGCTTGCGCTAATGGAAGCCGCCGGCTAATGGCTTCTTTCACTTTAGTGCGCATGTTATTCTCTAGCCGTAGCCGAGGGATCCCGTACTTGGCCTGATCGATGCTTGTGGCGGCGCCCTTCCTTCCATCAGACCCCGGAAGCACAACTACATACGTGGTGTTTTTCATGGGATTTCTGAGAGGGTTTTCTTTTCATGATCATGATTGCTCCTGCCATCTGTGTCCCATTTTAACGCCCATCTCGCCATCAAGTAGCCCGTTTGCTGTGGTGTCTACACCCACAGTAGCATGTCATCTCCAGCCATGGAAAACATGAAGAAATTCGCCGGCCAGGCTGGTGTGTTTTTTACACGAGCGAGGCAGGTAAAAAGTCGACATCATTTTAAACTAACTGTACAACTGTACATGATACGACTGACAATGTACATGATGTATGTTACTACATGCATTCGAGGTGTATGTACGTGTACATGTCTTCCATCACGTCTGTGCATTACGAATTGTGCGATCATGTTGGTTTACCGCTTTTTAAATGAAATTTATTTTCTTTATTAAATGGGTTGGAGTTTTTTTTACATTCCTTTTCAATGACAGGCCTGAAATTGTTTGAAAGTTATATTACTAGAGGTTATTGTTTGATTAATGATTGCCAAAAATTTGAAGAACAAAAATAAAACGAGGCCTGTCAAATTCATGTCACCCCTATTTCTTTTCCAAAAAAAGGTTGTAAAAACGAATAGTATTTTGTCGGTATGAAATGGTATTCTTACCCTCCTTGACGTACATAGTATTAGTAGGCCTGTATTAATGGTGTGAAATGATTATGTAAGACCAGTGGCATACATGTAACTATGGCTGGAGTGATGACGTTCACCTCGGTCACGCTGGCTGCGATCTTTGTTCTGGGCACCGTGGAGAACATCCTAGTGTGTCTGGTCATTGCTGTGTACAGTCCCTCCCCTTCCAGTGGATGCTTGTATGTTTGTGCCCCCCTCCCTGGATTCCCCCCCCCCCCATTTTCAACTCTGTTGAAATGCAAGGCTGTAGCTTAGTTTCTTGTGGTACTCCCTCGAAAAAAGATGTGCATCCCGGTCGGCCCCCCTCCCCGATATTTAGCCCCAGTTACGCCACCGTGTAAGACTTGAGAAAGAAAAAGCAAACTCAGTTTAAACAAAACAAAAAAAAAACACAGGAAATCAAGATACGTGTTTTATTCTGCCAAAAAGTCTGCATCAAGAAAATGACCTCTGAACCCCCACAGTATACAGAGGAGAAGCTTGGTAGTGCTGAGAAGACTGAACTGGATGCCCAGTTTGAGAACCTGCAGCAGAGAGCTGACCGGACCAAACAATGGACGGAACGCATCCTGTCCCGCACGGAAGCGGTCCTGCAACCCAACCCAAGTGAGAATAACAGATGATTTGAAGATTTTGGTAAAGTGGTGACAAGAAAAAGGTTGGCGGTAGCACCATGTACTTCCTTTTGACCAGATTGTTGGACCAGCACCATCATGTAGTGGACTTTACTCATGAAGAGGCCATATTGAAATTGAAAGTGAGGCTATTTCTTCATTTTTTGAACTTGGAAGTATCAATGAACAGATGAAATATGTGTCAGTTGACTTGATCCTCTCGGGTGAACCCGACTGGACGGAGATGACTTTAAGACCTGGTCTCTACTTCTTGCTCCATTCAGATTAAGATCCTCAGTATCTGCCTCTTTTTTTTCCAGCCCGACGCATGGAGGATTTCTTGAATACCAAGCTGGACCGGAAGATGCAGGACCGTGAGACCAACCACGAGGCTTTCGGCTTGACAATGATCGAAGCCGGCAACGAGCTGGGGCCTGGCACCCAATATGGTAAGGATAATACTTGCGTCTTGAACTGGGAGATCCCAAAATGTACAAGAGGCATCCTTTTGTAGTCACCAACTGTAAGTCCTTAAGTTATGGCTGTGGCTGATGGTGACATGTACACCTACGAGAGTCACTGTCGAGTGGCTGCAGTCCCGTCTCATAAGCCATAGCCAGTTGATTTGGTCACGATCTAGATTTTTTTTACCAACCGAGACTTCATTTGCAGTTCTGATTTTATCTTGAAGATGCGAGATCCCCATTGTGCGAGAGGCCATCAAAGCACACGCCCTTCTAACTTTTTTTTGTGATTTCTTTTTTCTGGCAGTTTTTGTTTTATACTCAGTGATCTTGGAAGGTTTCGCGTGGTAGGATGAGCAAATTTCATCGCAATTGTATGAGCAAAGATATTGGTTTGTTTTGTCCAGTCGACTTTATTTTGCCTTCTGTGGAGTGACAACCCATCATCGAAATTTGCATCAGTCGGTGTTTTTGCCGTAGTGTTGAAATCGAAAGAGTGTCACAGGCTACGCTTGTTATTTTGAGCCATTATTATTTATAGCCAGTATTTGGAACGGTCTTTGGTTGAAACTAGCTGTGCTTCAGATGAAAACCAAACCCATATTGGAAATCTTTTTATAATTATGGACATGCCCTGGCAGTGATCGGCGTGTGGGGCACTAATTGGAGATGGATGAAGCATCTCGAGTCATTGTAGTTGGGTCTGGGTTGTAAAAATAGATACCCTTTGACATTTCAAGCTTCAGTTCTGGAATGTTGTCCTTTTTAAATTGAGTTGAATTCAAGAACCGGTCTATGTCCCGTACCATAGTTTGCCTCTTTGTTCTTTACTGCGATGAAACTGGGCCCCATTTGAGCTTCTAGTTTCAGTTCGGAAGGGCTGTTGGTACCATTCTTACCGTGACTTTGAGTGTGCGAGCCAATTTACTTCCTGACTCGAGAAAATATCGGTACTTTTTCTCTGTTCTCCAGTCTGTGAGTCGTGCTATGCTGACTGTAGTCTGAATGTACGTGTACGCACACCAAATGTACTTTGTTTGCTCCCCTTAGGTGCGGCCCTCGTGCAGTGCGGAGGTACCCAGAAGAAACTTGGCCAATTTGAGAAGGAGTTCATGCAAGCCGCCATCACCAACTTCATCGGCCCGCTGCGTAACTTCCTGGAAGCAGACATGAAGACCATCACCGTAAGCTGGATGTCACCACTCGGGCTTGGCCCGCCGTTTCGCTTATCCCCGCGGCAGATGGCTTTTGTAAAATGTTGCGAAGGAAACGTGTCACAGCTACGGATGTGCAAAGCATCGTGTGCTGCTTGCACTCCTAATTCATACGTGAATATTCTGTGGGCACAAGTCGCGCACATGTGGAAGTGTTGACCTGTGTTATTGTTCAAACAAACTCTGTCCAGTGAGTGCTCAAACTAAAAAGTATGACATGCATCCTGAAATAGTTTCCCGTTCCAGTGCTCTGTAAGGGGGGGTGACTAGTAAAGGCAAGATGGCTGGCTGTTGGGGCATGCAAGTCTGCTTTCTAATCAAGCCCATCACTAGACCAGACTCCAGACCATTTACAAGATAAGTCGTAAGGAACATAGCGACCAGTAGAGAAGGAGTGCATTCATTGCTGTCGCGTTTGAATAGCTTGTGACTTGAATTCAGACTGGAGGTCTGGTGTTGGTCTTAAAATGATCTTTTGGGGTCTTGTAATGGTCTTTGTCAGGGGTTCTTAGAGAGACAACACTGATGCTTGTTGGCTGACCTGCTCACTGGCTCCCTGGTTTGCTAGTTAGCTTGCTGGTTTGCTTGTTAGCTAGCTGGTATGCTAGATAACTGGCTGGTTTGCTTGTTAGCTGGCTGGTCTGCTACTTAGCTGGCTGGTTTGCTTGTTAACTGGCTGGTTTGCTTTCTAGTTGGCTGGCTGGTTTGCTAGTTATCTGGGTGGCTAGTTTACTGACAACCCCAAAAATTCACTCTGGCTGAGTTCCCTCAATTTGTGTTTTATTCATCTCCTTTCAGAAAGAGCGCAAAATCTTAGAGAACAAGCGACTTGACCTGGATGCTGCAAAAGGCAAGCTTCGCAAGGCCAAAAGCCCCGAGTCGTCAAAGCTTGTGAGTAAAACACCCTTAGATCTCCTTTGCATTGAAATAAAGTTCTTACTTCCAGACAGTTCACCTACCCGTAGTTTCTGGAACACATCTCCAAAATTTCTCAAATCAGAACATGACTCCAGTTTTGTGCGGAGAAAGTTGTGAAATAACCTTGGAAAGTTAACCCCAACGAAGATGCTTTGAAATCTGCCGAGAAATTTGGATTTTTAAAAGTTCAGGCGGTTGTACCTCCCACGGGGCTTGAAGGTTGAAGAGCAGAGTCTGTACTGTTGGTTTCCTGTGCGGCGGAAACTTTGTGCAAGAGTCAGTAAGAATCCTGGCAAAAGTGGCCCCGGGGGGGGGGGGACAAGACGTTAGGGAACTAGACACAGGCACACACCAAAGACACACATCGATCTTTTGGCCGATTGTGGTATCTTCACTCATGTTCACTGTCATGCATGGATCACAATCATTCACATTCACAATAAGCGCTTGCTGAGTATGGTCACTTGTATACCCTCGTTTGACAAGGGGAGTCATGAATTCATTTGCTTAAGCTTTGTCCCGCAATTTTGGAAAGCTTGGGTGTGGCCATGCATGACAATGACTGTTCGTAAATGCCTGGCTTTTTATGATTTACTGCTATTGACATTAACAACAGATTGGAATGAGCTGCTGGTAATTTCACTCTTCTGAGATTTTCCGTTTGGTTTTCGTCACATTTTTATCTATAATCTCTTTTTATTGATGATCCAACGAAACTGAACTCTTTGATTTTTGTGTGGCGCTCTTGATCTGTTTCTCACTGCTTATCTCCTCTTCAATTCTGTTCCAAATTTTCTGCTTTTACTTGCTCACATGTGTTCCCCTATCAGCAAAACAGCGACGACTTGATTCGTACAGTAAGTGGTCTGTGTTGGAATGGTGCATCATGCCCTAGTGCTACACCCTGAGTTTTGTGTTTTACTTACAGGAGTAAAATCTCTGTTCACAAGTACCGAGTGCCGAGGCGGCGCCGAAGTTGTGTCCATCATGGGCCCCGCCAGTCCATCATAAGTCACCCAGTCTTAAGCCGAGTCACAAGCTAATCAAATGAGTGGGACAAAAGCATTCTGTTGTCATTGTTCACTGCTTCATGCTCTTGATGACTGGTCTTGTGAAGGGACTTGTGATGGACTCGACTACGACACTGTTCCGAGCAGAAATATTATGGCAAACACGTAGGGGTGCCATTGTTGCCCAGTGTCTGAAGCCCAACGAGGCATCAGCTTTGTCTCACGGGCTTCAGGTGTTCAGGTGTGACTTTAGTTCTCTATTTTCCTTTGATTGGCTCAGATCATCCAACTGTCTAATGTGAGGAGTGCTCTCATTTGTCTCTCATAGTCAAAAGTTTAAAACCAATTGCAGAGCTTGAGACAAATCTGCAGATTAAAAAGAAGCCGAAATTTTGAAAAAGGTCTCCCACGAGCCAAAACGGGAGCGTTGTGCACATTCCAATGAAAAAGAGATCATGTGTACTGTGCATCCTAAGGTTGCATGCTTTCACACTTGTGTTTCATACACAAGTGTTTGGGTGATTGCACACCGTTACCTGCTTGGAACATTTGCGTTTCATTTCCATGAGCATTTCCAAGACCCAAACACTGACAAAAATTGAAACCTTGGATCTTTTGAAAGTAAGCTGAGGTCCATCCTATTAAGTGTACAAGTGAACACGGCGAAAGCCAGTGCATGGTTTTCTGTGAAGCCTCCTCGATTTAGTTGGCAAGTTCAACTTAACCCCGGAATGGAATCGAGTTGAACCCAAATGACCTCCAAAAGCCAAATCCAATCTTGGTTTGGCAGAATTTTGACAGTTTTTGGACAGTGCAGTCTACTCTCTATTACCATGCATGGAATTTCATGTCGCCACTCTTGATGGCACCTCAACCAAGCTAACCCAAACCCAACACCTCGTTTGGCAGTATGCGCATTCTGATAATTCAGAACTAGCTTACCCAGTTAGTACTTCTTCACACGGGAGGGGAGGGGTTGCAATGCCCGATTGGCCAGTTTTTCTGCAAGTACCAAGAATGTACCATTGAGTCACTGCAGTGACCGTGCAGTGTTCAACTTGTACATTGAAAGACCTTTTTTAAGTAATTTTAACAGACAAGCATGGATGTACACGTACATGTACATGTATATTCATACTGAGGGCTGCACAACTGCATAAAGGGCTGTACTCTCCATGTTATCATTGTGTCGCAGTTGACCAATGCAAGCATATTGATTTTGTCTGAGTGCATTCAATCATTGACACACAACCGCTTAGACAAAGCATAGCACCCTAACGCCATATGCCCATTGCACAGTAACAATTTGTCTTTCATTATGGACATGCATTTGCATGATTCTGATGTTGTTTGTTTTTTTTTGCTTTTTAGATATTCTGTGGAGTACCTAGGTTTGCTGTGATATCTGTTTATGTATGCATCGTGTCAGTTCAGTGTCCCATTATAGTCTGTACGTGTTGGATATACATGTATATTTTTCATGGTTGTACAACTTACGTTGAAAAGAGGATGGATCTCATTTTATGCTGGTACCCATAGCCAGTTTTAATTCCTCTGTGGGCTTAAATTCAACCCCAGCCTGGGAAACATGAAAAAAAGTGAGGGAAAAAAACCATCAATTTAACCTTCCTTTGGTTTTACAGCACACAATAATTTGCACAAGTGCCCACAGTCACTCTCTTGCATGTGTTTTCCATATGGAACACAAACTTGCAAAGGTTCAGTGTGTACACAGTT